AAAATACCAAATTTTTATTACATAATTACAATGGCAGAAAAGAGGAAACGTGGTCAAAATTTTTCACTGGAAGATAAAGAATGTTGTTTATCCTGGCTAGCGTGTCACCACATCAGTTATTAATAATTTTGAAGTACTTATTGTTTGCATATTAATAGACATACTGCCTTTTCTATTCCGGAATAGTTCGGCATCATCTCCTCCTATAATTTATCACATGAATAAATGTAAAGAAGGTTTCTAGTTAATACAATTAAAAGACTTTTGAATATCATTATAAGAGGCATCATAGTAAGACGATAGGTGTGCGAACGACGGTGTTCGCTGGAGGCTCAATAAATATGACACAAAGATCTGCCGTATCTGTATGTGTGCGTGTCTATCCATCTTATTAAATCAGGTATTATTTCATAGGAGATTCAGTAATAAATGGTTACTCGTAAGGACCTGTGTTTCTCTAAACGCCCAACTTTATAATTGAATTTTTATGTGTGTACAGTCTATACATCCTAAAACATTTGGAAATCGAGCTATTCTGTAAAATTCTTCTTTTACTATTTGTTGTTTTTCTTCGGTGTCTGGAAATTGTATGAATTCGCTTTGCCACGACCCACGATAGCGTCAGACACTCTTTTTATAATTCTACTGCAAGTTGATACACTGATGGGATTGAGGTCTGCTACAGATAATAATTGATTGCCTGTTACATAAAATCTAAGGCCACACAGTAATTGGTTAATCGGTGCCACAGGTTTATTTCTTTAAATACAAGTAAGGTTGAGCAGGGAACCTGTATCTTATGAAAAAGTCTTTTTCATCATATATTTCAAAATCTTTCGATCTTTCACGATAAATACGAGGTCGTCTATACAAATGTCGGTTACTTAACAATTCCATATCTTCAATTGCTTAAAATCTTCAAATAAATAGTGGTTATTATCCATTTTTATTATTTTTTATCTTATTCAGTAGGATAAAATACTGTTTGGTGATTCGCAAAATAACCTGACACTATGTGTCACTTAAACGTTACGGGGTCGTCAATTCATCCCCTAAATTTTAAGGAACCCCTAATGATATAGGTGACACTTAAACGTTGGTGAAAACAAAACTCGCGATAAGTGTCCCTTATATTGGCTTAAGAGACACTTAAATTTTAGGGGCTGTTGGTGAAAACGGGCATCATTCTCCTTTTTTAATACGTAACTGTTATTCAATCCAAAGGCGTCCCAAGCGCTAAAGTTCGTGTGTCATATTAAACCGTGTTCTATTAATACGCACCTCTCCATTTCTAAGTAAAGATCTTTGAGTATTGACACTTAAGAGAGGATCATTAACCTATGCTGTCATTGACAGTAAGAATGATAGTGATAAATTGGGACTGGGTAAAATTTAACAATCATGCGGTATGATTAGTAAGATACCTGGTTAAGGATAGGTAATACAAACTGCTAGACTGATGTCAATTATTACAAGAATAGTGCGAAAGATTATGGATTACTGAACTGTTTTATTCAAGATTAGTTTGCCATACTCTATAAGTCTTTAGGCGAGCAAGCGAGTTAAAGAAAACAATTTAAAAGCATAGCTGTATCTTTTAATACGATAGTTTCCAACTAGTCAAATTCAATACTTTTATCCAAATGTCAAAAATTATACTTTTCTATGAAGTTTGTATGAAACACTGCGTTATGACGTCATAGTGTTTTTGCGTCTAACAGCGTACTTATTTCTAAAAATAGCTAGTAAATATCTATTGTATATCGATCGATCGATGAATAAAATTATAGTCACACACAAAATGCGACGCTGAAAAAGTAAAAAACAAGATTTCACAAGGCGCAGTCACACGTTATCAAAGTGCAGGTATGATAAGTAAATGTAACTTGTGGCTACGCCTTTCTCTAAATCTTGTTTGATACTTTTTCAGCGTCGCATTTTGTCGTAGTTGGGTTTTAGTTTTTATGCTTTTTTTTATTTAAGATTTCTTTTAAATTTTTCTCTGGACAAACAAGGCATTGTTGAGTTATAACATTACAACGATAAGTGGCATTGATTTTTATATATGTATGTAGATGTAAGAATTTTGCTTTTTTTCTTATTTTTTGCTACTCGTATGAGTCGCTTTATGAAATAAACTCCGGGGCAACTACCAGACTTACATAAATTCAAAAAAAACAGCCTATATGTTCGAAACAGAAATCAAATAAGTACTTAGGCTTTTTTGATAGTCTTCTTGTGGCCTATTTGCTTGATATACTTTTAGTTTTCCAAAGCTAGTTTGCACTAAATACTGAGTCACCACTTTAGGTTGAAAAGCTTTGTAGCTAACCTAACTACACATTTTACATGGAAAGATTCTTATCTGACCTTGAAAGGGTAAAAGGAGGGCCATTTTAAAGAATGTATGTTTTGTTCAAAGCTTTCTATGGATAAAAGTAGAACTAATTTAATTTTATGTGATTAAAGACTGTTCAATACTACATAATTATAAATGTATGGCTGATTAGTAAAACCTTTTTTTATATCCCTAACACAAAATGGTATCTTTTCCCAATTTGGTGTCTTTCCTCTACCTACTACCACAGGCACTCTGATGGTAAGCGAATACTGTAGCCAATGACGATATAACCACTATTAAAAACGTGTTTTTTATCCTGCTTATCCGACCTGAGCTACCCCGCGGTTAAAACCAAGTCGTCTATAAAAGCAAGTCCCATTAAAATATGTACATTTACGACACATTACAATCTTATTTATGGAGCCGCTAGCCGGCTGGCTATGTACATAACTATATTCGTTGGTTTGTAAGTACTAAACTTCTGAATACTTACGTATCTATAAACATACTTGGAGTTATAATGTGACATTACGATGGAAGAGCATAACTTGAGTCTGATATTGCTCGTAGCGAGAACGTTATGATCAACAGATGACCTCACAAATCACACAGTGCCTAAACATGTTGTGATTAAACATAGATTGAAAATTCCAATTTAGGTAGATAGATACTGTTGGGCAAATCCGCACCAGGTAGGTATTTATGATGGTTTTGACCACATAACAGATATTTTGTATTCCGTGGACAAAACCCATGGTATTTCGTTAAAGCCGACTATGTCACTACCGATACATTTGGAAGTTGATGTGTTTGAGATTCAGAAATTGGTAAAGTAGCGTAATTCAATTTAAGAATCTTTTTTATGTGATAAGACGGCAAGCAATCGTCGCCAGACAAGTTGCGTTGTCGGTTTTTACGGCTTAGGAGTTCGAGAATAGGAGATATAGGTCATAATTATGGTGTTGGAGATGGTGGTAGGTGGAAAATTGGGCTTTGGTAACTCACACGACAAAATACTACGCTGTGGTTGTTTGATGCCCTTTCTGTGAGGCCATGGTATCACAACATACGGCTTAGCAGGGCTCGTAAAAACTTTCCTACTTGGTACTTTTTTTGTGAGGGGAGAGTCATCAAATTACTTCTCCCGCCCAGGGTCGGAGGGAGGGAGTGTCAGACTTTTATTGACTAAAAACCCTCCGTTCCTTCTCCTGCTCTGGGCCGAGGCCGCGGTGCCTCATTGCCCTTGCCACTTAGGTAGGTATTGGTTTTTGAAAAAGTTGTAGGTACATAGCACGGAGCTATAAATCAATTATGGTTAAATGCTGGGCTATGCTATCATTTGTGTTGGTAATAAGTCCTAGTACATTTGCATTGGCAACACTGTATACTTATTCTCTCTGGCATTTTCTGTTTTTCACTTAGCGTGATATTAAGAATATGACACCCATAAAGCAATTAATTACAGTACGGCCGACGTATCTTGGCGAGTCTGAAGTTAGCCGATTGTCTGCGCAATGGATCTTTTAGGAACAAACTTGTGTACTGCGCAGCTACTCGGCTAACTTCAGACTCGCCAAGATACAACGGCCGTATTGTACCTAATTTTGCCTCTGCCTACATTTTCTAGATACGAAGGGAACGTTAAAGTCGCACTATGATTAATACGGTATAGGGACGTACCTACTAGGTATTTACTAGGAAAAATAAAAATTGAGGTCAGTCGTAAGCTAACGAGCATAAACTCAAACTAAACAAATTATGGTCGAGTCATTCGCAGAATTGGTCAAAAATAAGTAAGTACCTACTTGGTCAAAAAACTATTTCGAGTTTTCAAAGAAATGAAGTGTTAAAAACTAATAGGTACTTATCTAACGTTTTCACTTTCATTCATTGTTTTTACTATGTAGCACTTAGTTTTTGTATGCATTTATCTAGCATATGTTTAATGTAATACAAAGGTACATTAAATCTTCAGTACTCTGAAAGGCGAAAATTTTTCTATTAAATTTATTGATGTTATAGATTTCGTGAAAGATGATCGTACCAGGTAGAATACCCACCTACGTATATAGAAGACGAAGTTAAACCTATAGGTATATCCGTGGGAGACATGCTTCGGCACGAATAGGTCGGCTCGACCAGAGTGATACCACGACCTCACAGAAAACTGGTGTGAAACAACCACAGCGTTGTGTTTCGTCGTGTGAGGAAAACCTCACTCACACGACGAGAAGGAGGCCTAATCCCCTTCCCCTAAATCTCCAAATCTCTAATCCCTAAAAGGTTGGCAACGAATTCGTAACTCCTCAGTTGCGGGTGTCTACGAGTGCTCATTGCTTACCATCAGGTAATCCGCCTGCTCGTTTGCCGCAAATTGAAAAAAATCCTTCATTCTCGAATCAGAACTGGACACTCCTTGTTATTAAAGTAATACTGCCGCCGTATGATTCACTGGCAGTGGTTGGTTAGGAAAAGCTAAAGATCGAGCTCTTCCACGGTTCCAGGGGTATGTATGTCCAGCAATAAACAGAAAAGGGGTGATGATTACGACGATGTTTCTCTAATGAGATGATGATGATGTAACACAAAAAAAAACAACGATTTGTAATATATGTATATTTATAATTAATTACAAATTAGTATTTTATTAAATTCATACCAACAACACATTTTATCTTACAGCGACAATACTATGACATCTTGGGGACAAAACAGGATCAAATAACTTAACTAAATAAACATTTTCAAACCCATTTTCAAATAAAAACAATAACCTATCTAACAAAATTAAACTCTCAACTACTTGAGCTAAACATAACCTGACTAAATAAAACAACACGAGTTTTTTCCACTGGCAATCCATATTGTTTTCTACATCTGTAAAAAAACTGGCAGGCAGATTGTCATAGAGTTCCAAATTTAAAATTTCGTCCGCCATTTTGAAGTACTGTTGGAATGTTTGACATTTCGGAGTTATCCTTTTGAGTTTGCCTTCTGATATCTTATGGTTTGGGAGCTGCTTTTGGATTATATCCTGTAAAATAAATAATAATATTAGTCACTTTTGTCGATGTTCCTTTAAAATTGTTGGTTTCTTATAGGTCCTATAAGAAACCAACAATTTTGCACAGGCTACTAAATAGTAACTTGACTATATAGGATTTTGTTTTTTTTAATGTTTTCTGTTTTCTTTTTGATTAGTGCGGAAGTCTGGGTAGCCGAACGTGGACTATTGTATTTTTTCAAAACTCAAATAATAAATAGCAATCACAGAACAAAAACGACCTTTGTCGAAGTTGTAAAGTAAACATTAACCAAGACCGGGGTTGTGGGTCAAGCGCATAATGTACCGCAGCCCCGGTCTAGAGCAGGGGAAGGAACGGGGTGGCTTTTAGTCAGACAGAGTCTGACACTCCATCGCAAAGGGAGGAGGATGACACCACAAAAAGTAAGTACCTTATCACCTATTTTTTTATCTGCCCTAGAAGGGTAGTCACACAATTGTTCTGGACACGATAATACCAAGCCATTTTGTACCGGCGGCCATCTTGGATTTTAAATTTTGCCTGTATCATAGTATTCTACTTATGTAACCCTTTTATTTGATACCCCTATTGAGCGGTTGTGTCATCATCATCATCATCAGCCTATAAGTGCCCACTGCTGAGCAAACGCCTCTTCTCACACGGAGAAGGTTTGAGCATTAATCACCACGCTTGCTCAATGCGGGTTGGCGATTTCAAACTTATAATTAGAAATTATAAGTCCAGGTTTCCTCACGATGTTTACCTTCACCGTATGTCAGTGGTGTCTAAATAATCATAGAAAGTACATATAACTCGGAAAAAGTCACATTGGTACTTGCCTGGTTTCGAACCCGCACCCTCATGCATGAGAAGCGGGCGCCTTAACCTCCGGGCCACCACCACTTTGTGGTGCGTAAAAATACGTGAGCGGTTGTGTAAAAATACGTAATCCAACATTTCGTACCGGCGGGGTGCATGCCAGAAGACCTCCCCGTGGTGCACCCTGGGTGCGGGCGACAGTCTCCCTAACGGGATGGCGACAGGGTTGGACTGACTGTCGCCCGCAGCGAACTTCTGGCCGGGCGGAGAACCCGGTCGGGTTCTAGAGGCGACCGGCTCTATGCTGGCATAGGGTCCACGCCTCCGTGGGGGCGTTCCTCTGCACGACTCTCTGGACCTAGCAGAGAGCGGGGCGGAGAAACAAGGGCGGCGCTCGTTGTGCACTCACCCTGCCAATGAGTAGCATCGGGGCACTAGCTGCGCCCGACTGCACCCGTCGATATCGTAATCCGGGAAGAGATCATGGTCATGTTTTATGACTCGGACCGGGACGAGGGTCTTGGCTTAACCGCCCGGACCGCGAGGAAAATAACCTCTATAAAAAATTCCTCCAATACTAAGTTCTGGTGCGCGGCGAGGGTATGTATGGCTGAGGAGTAGGATCAGTCGTGAGCGCACCCCCAGCTAGGGGACCGGTGGACCCCCTAGTTGGGAAACAAATGCACACTTACCCAGGGACAGGGGGCTCTCCCTGGGCGGACCTTTTATTTCCCCCATACTCGTGGGACTTTAATGGAGACACCAAACACTAATAAACCACCAAATGAGGAGAGGGCAAGCGAGGTTAGCTCGCTTGGAGGCGATAGTGAGGGCCAGGGCGGCTCTCGGGTTCGTGGGGAGGCGCTGGTCCCGTCCAGCAAGTCCCGTGCACGGGCCCTGGGGAGGAAGGAGTCGGACTCAGAGTCCGACTCATCATTGTCTGGCGTCAGCATCGCGCTGCGCCACAAGAAAGACCGGGGCGTTTTTAAACGTCCCAGGTTGGAGGATGGTCGAGAGCCGTCCTCCAACGAGCAGGAGGCCCCAGCCCCCAAAATCCCCACGGCTGCGCGGGGTAGGGGCAAGGGGAAGGGCTCCACAAGGGCGGCTGGGAGCCGATCTGAGCCGGCAGAGCGGCTGGCAGCGGAGGGGAGCGCCCTGGGAAAGGCTGCCCCCTCGGACTCCTCGGAGATGGAGGCCTCCGGTGGTGAGGGTTCTGTAGGCGGCGCTGAGAGCCTCCGCCTACAGGTAAAGGGAGCACTCCGCATGCTGGCTGGGCAAAAAACCCAGGCTGGCAGAAATGGAGTGCTTAAACACGCGGAGGCCGCTATTATGTCGGCGGTATCCCGGCAGGGCTCAGCAGAGCGGCAGATGACCGCTCTGCAAAAAGAGATGGCCGGAATGAGGCGCGAGCTGGCCCGATTAGCGGCTGCGAACTCTGCCCTGGAAGCGGAACTTCGTGCAGCAAAGGCGGAGCTCGCTGCTGCTCGCGCGGGTCGTCCCCAACCCTCGCAGCCAGCGGAGGCTGACCTTCTTGGCCTCATGCGGCGGGAGATGGCCGCCTTCCAGCAGCGTTTTGACGCTCTGGAGGGTAGGCTCCTCCGACCCCCTCTCGCAACTGGCACTTAGGCAGCCGCGGCAGCGAAGACGAAGCAGCCACCTAGCCGCGGCGCCAGAGCAGACGCTCCGGTGGAGAAAAGGGCGAAAGTGCCCCCTGCGGCGAAAGCACCGAGAGCCCCGCCGCTGACGAGGACGCCTATAGCTCAACCGGCACGGGCTCCTGCTGTGCCTCTAGCACCAAATAGCCGCAAGCGAAGGGGCACAACAGCTGAAATTCCAGCCGTTGCAGCCCCAACCCCGCTATCAGAGCTGCGCACCGATGGCGACGAGTGGCAGGTGGCCGGGCAGGCGAGAAGGGGCGCCAAAGAGGCGAGAAAGCGCCGCAAGAAGGAGTAGCGGCAGCGGCGGCAGCAGCGACGCAAAGAGAAGCGCGCTGCGGCAATGCTCCTCACCCCTAAATCTTCGGCTGTAGTTATCACGCTACAGCCGGACGCGGCTAAGAAGGGGGTGACATACGGCGACGTCCTCGCCAAATTGAAGGGGACGGTTACTCCCGCGGAGTTCGGGGCCCCTAACGGGTTCGCGGTAAGGGTCACCGCGAGTGGAGCTGTCTTTTGGAGGTCCCCAGCGCGGCCAGCGGCCCATCCGCTGACGCCCTTGCTGAGAGGCTCAGGACGTGCCTTGTGGCGGATGAGGCTCGCGTGTCCAGGCCAACCAAATGCTTGGAGCTACGCATCATGGGCCTGGATGACTCCGTGACGGAGAACGAGGTGGCGGCCGCTGTCGCCAGGACGGCGGGGTGCCCTGCTGATCAGGTGAAGGCAGGCACCATCCGCCCGGACAATACGGGGCTGCGGACTGTGGTAGTCAGCTGCCCCGTCACAGCGGCCAAAAAACTGTCGGAGGGCAAAAGGCTCCTGGTGGGCTGGGTGTCAGCGCAAGTAAAGCTGCTGGAACCCAGGCCTCTGAGGTGCTGCCGATGCCTCGTGGGTCACCATGTGGGGGCCAAATGCACCTCAGAGGTGGACCGCAGCGACTGCTGCTTCCGCTGCGGTCAGCCCGGTCACAGGGCAGGCGCTTGTACCGCCCCGCCGCACTGCGTAGTATGTGCGGCGGCTGGCAAGCCGGCCGATCACCGGGTTGGGGGCAAAGCCTGCTCCCCCCCCACCAAGCCCAGGAGCAAAGGTAGGCCCTTAGCCACCTCCACCGCTCCCACCGTCGCTCCCGCTGCGGCCACAGTCGCCAACACCCCTGCGACTGCTGCTGTCGCCGCTGCCGTCAGAGAGGAGGTCGTGATGGATACCCAATAATGGCTCCATTACGCCTCCTCCAGGCGAACATCAACCACTGCGTCGCTGCTCAGGATCTCCTGCTCCAGAGCATGGCGCAGTGGTCGATCAATGTTGCTGTGGTCTCCGAGCCGTACTTCGTTCCACCCAGGGAACACTGGGTGTCAGACCTGGACGGCTCGGTGACCATCATCTCGTCGGCCGCTGCCGGTACCCCAACCCCCGAAGGGCCTCAGCGAGGCAGGGGTTGCGTCGCGGCTCGGTTCGGAGAGATCGCCGTGGTGGGCGTGTACTTCTCTCCGAACCGAACTCTCGTCGAGTTCCACAACTCCCTCAGGGAGTTAGTCACCGTCGTCGGGTTCCGTCCCCTCCCCGTTTTGATCCTCGGGGACTTCAATGCCAAGAATTTGGCTTGGGGTTCCCGGCTCACTGATGTCCGGGGAAGGATGGTCGAAGACTGGGCCCTGGAGACAGGCTTAGTCGTGCTGAACCGGGGTTCTGTCCCCACGTGCGTACGGATGCGGGGCGAGTCAGTGGTGGACATTTCGTTTGCTAGCCCCGCTCTGTCATCGCGCGTTGTTGACTGGCGCGTCATGGAGGAGGTGGAGACGTTTTCGGACCACCGGTATATACGGTTCGACGTTTCCGCCGAGTCCGCAGACCCGCCAGTCAGACAGGCCCCGTGTGGCCCGCGTTGGGCGCTTAGGCAACTGGACCGGGAGCTTTTCCTGGAAGCCGCAGTCGTGCAGGCCTGGGTGATACCACCGGTCAGGCCAGCCGACGTTAACGAGGAGGCGAGATGGCTCCAGGACGCCATGTCAAGGATGTGCGACGTGGCGATGCCCCGGATCCGGCCGTGCCAACGCAAGCGCCAGGTGTATTGGTGGTCGCAGGAATTGGCAGACCTGCGCGGTGAGTGCACCGCAGCGCGACGCCGATACACCAGGCACCGCAGGCTCCGTCTCCGCCCTCTGGACGCTGAAACCAGAGAGGCGGAGCTATACGAGGAGTACAGGGCGGCGAAGGCCACCCTCAGGGTGGAGATCCGGCGGGCCAAAGATCGGGCCCGCGAGGAGATGTTGGAGACTCTGAACAGAGACCCGTGGGGACGCCCCTACCGGATGGTGCGTGATAAGCTCCGCACCTGGGCGCCCCCACTGACTCAGAGTCTCCGGCCGGAGGTCGTGGACGAAGTGGTTGGGGCGCTATTCCCCCGACCACAGATGGTTACACGCCTCCGGCTATGTCCCCGCCCCCTGCGGTGCCCAATGCGGGCTACAACGACGACGACGATGAATCCGCTCCGGAAGTGACCGAGGTAGATTTGAGGGTGGCGGTGCGCCGGCTGAGCGGCAAGAATACCGCCCCAGGACCTGACGGGCTGCATGCCAAGGTTTGGGTCCTGGCCTCGGAGGCTCTCAGGCCTCGACTAATTGGTCTGTTCAGCGCATGTTTGGAGAGAGGCCAGTTTCCGCTGTCGTGGAAGACGGGTAAACTGGTCCTCGTGAAGAAGCCGGGGCGTCCTGCGGACTCTCCGTCCGCGTACCGGCCCATTGTGCTGCTCGACGAGGTGGGAAAACTGTTCGAGAGGATAATCTCAGACCGCCTCGTCGGGCACCTGTCTGGAAGGGGGCCGGATTTAGCGGACGGCCAGTTCGGCTTCCGCAGAGGGCGCTCCACGGTGGACGCCATCATGCGCGTGAGGGACCTCACGACGGGGGCTGCGTTGGCCAGGAGGCGAGTCGTCGTGGCGGTGTCTCTGGACATCGCCAACGCCTTCAACTCGTTGCCCTGGAGCTGCATTTTGGAGGCACTCCGGTATCACCGGGTGCCTGCCTATCTCCGTCGTGTAGTCGAGGCTTACTTGACGGACAGATGTGTCATCTACCCCGGTCACCGGGGCGTGTGGAATCGGCGAGAGGTGTCGCGCGGTGTCCCACAGGGATCGGTCCTGGGACCTCTCCTGTGGAACATCGGGTACGATTGGGTGCTACGCACCGACCTCCCGAGCGGCGTCAGCATTGTCTGTTATGCTGACGACACGCTGGTGCTGGCGAACGGGAGGTCGCATCAGGCGGCAGCCGACCTGATGTCACAAGCGGTTGCGACAGTCGTTGCAAGGATCCGGCAGTTGGGACTCGAGGTGGCGTTCCACAAGTCCGAGGCCATGTGTTTCTATGGCCGTCGGAGCGCGCCACCTCCAGGTGGGTCCCAAATAACGGCAGGAGGAGTTACCATCGGCGTCGAGTCGGCGATGAAGTACCTGGGTCTCGTCCTCGACAGCCGATGGAACTTCACGGAGCATTTTCGTCGTTTGGCCCCTAAGTTAGAACGGTCTGGGGCCGCGCTCAAGCGGCTCCTTCCCAACCTCGGGGGGCCAAACGCCTCCTGCCGGAGGTTGTATATGGGGATTGTGCGATCCATGGCCCTCTACGGTGCCCCTGTATGGGCGCCGGACTTGAAGCGGCGGCCGGCTCGTACGCTGGTCGCGTCCCAGAGGGTCATGGCTATCCGAGTAATCCGCGGGTATCGCACGATCTCCGGGGAGGCGGCGAACCTCCTTGCCGGATCACCGCCGTGGGATCTAGAAGCGAAGGCGCTCGCGCGCGTCTACAGTTTGCGCGCAGACGCGCGTCGCCGGGGCGAAGATCCTCTGCCGCGCCAAATTAGTGCGTGGCGGAATGAGCTCCGGCGAGATCTCATGGCAGAGTGGAAACAACGACTGTCGCAACCGAGGGCCGGGCACGCTACCATAGCAGCGGTAAGACCCCTCTTTGAGGAGTGGCTTGAGAGACGCCACGGCGTCCTCACCTTCCGTCTGACGCAGGTGCTTACCGGGCACGGCAGCTTCGGTAGGTTCCTGTTTCGGATTCAGCGGGAGGAAACGCCCGAGTGTCGTCATTGTGAGGACCACCTAGAGGATACGGTGGAGCATACGGTAGCGGTATGCCCTGCCTGGGCTGAGCACCGCCGTATCCTCAGGGAAGTGATCGGCGGCGGCGGCGACCTCTCGCGCCCGGCCTTAGTCGAGGCCATGGTGCGGAGTGAGAGGAACTGGGACGCCGTCTCCTCCTTTTGTGAAGCGGTCATGCTCGAAAAGAAAGAGGCGGCCCGCGTGAGGGAGCAATCCTCCTCCTCACGCCCCAGCAGCCGCAACTGGCGACACTACGGGCGTCGGGGATCGAGGGACGATCTCCGGCCACCGTAAGTACGGGCCTGCGGTCGGCGAGTAAGGGCAGCTCGCCGCCCGACCAGAACCAGGCCCGAGCGTACGGCGCGTAGCGTTCCGCGCGTGCCTCAAAGAGCCCATAGACCACCACAGACGGGGCCCTAAAGGGCTGATGTTCAGCCGGGGTTGCGGGGTAAGCGCAATGAGGTACCGCGACCTCGGCACAGAGCAGGAGAAGGAACAGGGGGGTTTTTAGTCAGTAAGAGTCTGACACTCCCTCCTGCCCGGCCCTGGGCGGGAGAAGTCATTTGATGATTTTCCCCTCACAAAAAAAAAAAAACATTTCGTACCGGCGGCCATCTTAGAATTTACAATGTTATTGATATTACTATATTGTATTATCATCGGAATTAAAGGTGTGTACCAAATTTTAGATTAATCCGACAACAGGAAGGTATTGCTATTGCTTAACTGATAGTCACGACTGCATTATACACAGGTCTTCCTATAGGGTTAATAAATATGGTGTTCCACAAGGGAGCGTTTTAGGCCCTTTGCTATTCTTATTATACATAAATGACCTACCAGACTCAATAAACAGTCAAAGCGTCCTATTTGCAGATGATATATCTGTCATTGTGCCGTTTAAAGACAAGAACACATCCCATGAAATCCAAATATGTACAGAAGTCAAGTTGGTGTTAAAATGGTTAAAAGCAAATAATTTAAATGTAAATCTCTCGAAAACTAAATTCATAAAATTTGGCATAAATAAAAATAACAGTAAACAACTTGAAAATATTAATCTAATTATAGAAAATAGCAATATCGAAAAAGTTGACACAATAAAATTCTTAGGCATGACTTTGGATGGGTTTTGTAACTGGAAACAACATGTAAGTCAGGTTAGCCTCAAACTAAGTAAATTTGTCTATGCAATTAGGAAGCTTCGTACCGTGACAGACGAAAAAACTGCAGGAATAGCGTACAAAGGATATGTAGAATCAATACTCAGATATGGGTTGATAATATGGGGAAATTCGACAGACGTTCAACAAGCGTTCATTGCACAAAAAAAATGTTTACGAGCTGTCTGTGGGGGAAGTCCACTTGACTCCTGTAAACCTTTATTTAAAAAACTAAAATTACTAACGTTAACTGGCATGTATGTTCTGGAAGTATCGATATTTGTAAGAAAATATAATTACTTTTTTAAATTTAAAGGGGATCATATTACCAAATACAGACCAAGAGATCCCTCTAAAATAATGGTTCCCTTTTGTAGAACTACTCTGAATAAAAAGAATGTATATCATATGTGCATATCGGTCTTTAATAAATTACCTAAGAATTTAAGGGAACTACCATTCAAATATTTTAAAATAAAGCTTAAGCAATGGCTGATAGAAAAATGCTTTTATACAATAGAAGAATTTATGAAATGTAAGATTAATGAATGTGATTATTTGTGTGATAAATAATATCTAATAATAATAAATGTTAACTTTGTTTGTTATAATAGACTATAATTTGAAATTTTATTAGTTTATATAAATATTTGCATGCCTAACGTAGGCAGAATACAGCCTGAACTGCACACCACTATTATATCTGGTAACACCTGTGTTCTATGTGAATAAATGTTTCTTTCTTTCTTTCTTTCTTTCTTTGCTCTCGCCAAACTTTGTGGCCGCCCTGAATATAGTCGCCAGTCCGAATCAACCAATTTTTTCGTTTTCTGACATTTTTAATACTGGTTGATTACGTATATACTAATATTGGTTGATTACGTATGGCCCACTCGACTGTACCATGCGCAAGTTCGGACTCGCGACTATATTCAGTCAGATTTTTTACCCAAACAAACAAATACCATACGGGTCGAGCTAAATAAAACCGTTTAATAAAAAATTAACTGCTTTACTGTTGCAAGTCATTCTAGCAGTTAAAGGAAATTTCTTTAAAGTTTACAGGAATTTAAAATTTTACAACTAAAGTGACAATTTCTCAGTGATATTACCTGCAGTAAAGCTCTGTACAGTAAGCTGTTGGAAGGCAGCTGTCGGTCGTTGACAACCCGGTCTATAGACTGGGCGGCTAGCATTCTCGCGTTCCTTCCTAGGTTATAGCCTGCAAACATTTTATTGTAGTTATTAGAAATACTGTCCCGCATAAAGTCGCTGCATATCCTGAGCGAGGGCAATTTCACGTGCTTGGACGCTCATTTTTTTCTTGCCCTAGTCTTTTGTGATGTTGTTTTACCATGCCTTTTGTGTTTGTTTTTTTACTTTTGTTTTTATTCACTTATTTTATTTGTGTCCTTTATGCGTCCTAGTCGCGAATAAATACATTTTTGTTTTGTTTGTATCGCGTTTTGCTGACTGAGAGTTTCACTACACTCATATATGTACAAGATAAAATGTAGCAGGTAGTTAAGTTTTTTTTTTACTTGATAGGTCGGCAACCCGTAAGGTTACGCAAAGGAGTTACGAGTGCGTTGCCAGCCTTTTAGGGATAAGGGTTATGGATATTTAAGGATTGGGAAGAGATGAATTTATAGACTAAATAAATGTGTAACAATATGCTCTATAAAAGCTTACTTTGCAACGACAAGTTGACACAACAATGTGAATGAAACACTATCATCAAGTATTTTAGAGTCAGTATAAGTATAAACATGTAAGAAAAGAGTTATGTTTATCGGTGCCAGCTTTATTTACTTTCTTGCACTTTTTATGGTATAGGTCGGCAAACGAACAGATGGATTACCTGACGGTAAGCAATCACCGCCGCCCGAAGATGGACATCCGAAGTACTAAAAGAGTTACGAGAGCGTTACCGGCATTTTAGGGATGAGGGTTTCGGATATTTAAGCATTGAGCGGGGATGGGGTAGGGATTGGGATTCTGATAACCTCACTCACACGGCGAAACACAACGCTGTGATTGTTTCGCGCCGGTTTTCTGTGAGATCGTGGTATCACTGATCAGTTGGTGCGGTGGCTGGGCGACACGTTGCGTGGCGCGAAACATGTCGCGGGTTCGATTCCCGCACGGAACAACTCTTTGTGTGATCCACAGATTGTTGTTCCGGGTCTGGGTGTGATGTGCATGTGAAATTGTATGTTTGAAACGCACCCACGACACAGAAGAAAATCCTAGTGTGGGGCAATGTTTATTTTTAAAAAAAACACTGCGGTCGAGCCGACCCATTCGTGCCGTAGCTTGGCACTCCCATACTTCTCAGCGCTACCGAAAACTTAATGTTTAAAATAATTGGAAACGTTTAGCAAACCATAACGCGACTATAGGTATCCAATATCAATACACCATCAAGCACAGTCAAAAACCACCCATCAATCCAAACTGCCTAAACATAAAATCTCGACTTAACAACAAAACAATAAAGTTCAGAGTTGTATTTTTACGAAATTAACTTATTACCTTTTAAATACTCAGACATGGGGAACCCTTGCTTAGTATCCTCTCCGCCATAATCTCTTTGGAAGACATCAAAAAGCTGTCCATCGACAGCTTCAGTGAGGAGGTGGTAGCAGCACGGTACATTGAACACAGCCGCCGTGCTGGGCTGCTGCACGAAGATACGGAGGGAATCCGGGCCTAAGTTGCCACACGTATGCAGGCCTGTAATCAGGATTGGGTTTTAAGACCCTCTTTTCTACATACTTAGTATAAAGGAAAGTCGCTTTCTCTATCCCTATATCCCTATGTACGCTTAAAGCTTTAAAACTACGCAACGGATTTTGGTGCGGTGTTTGAAGGGGAAGGTTTGTATGTATAATAAGATATTAACATCCATTCAGAAGTAGAGAAATTAAAAAGGTATCAATATTGCATCCGTAGAAATCTGGAGCGGGTCGCTAGTTATATTTGCACATGCACATGTATTGACTGTTTAAATTCAACGTTTTTCGGACAATTACCAAGAAAGAAAAGCGTACTTCGTCTGCAAAGGATGGCAACACACTTATGAGTCATCTATCGATATTTGTGCAAAATTTTTGATAGGTATATTATACCTTATAATGATTTCTTTTACATACCTGTAAGAAGCAGCTTGATATCTTGGCGTGCAAGCTCAGGGAACTTGTCCTTGACAATGGCGGCGATGTCAGTGTGCTCCGTGATGTAGGCGGTGGCAAACCTATGGAGGTTCTTATTGATACCCTCGTCTATTCGTTCTTCTGTTCCGTTCTTTATACGTTTCGCTATTGCATGCCATTGTTTCTGTGAATACAAATAGGTTAGTTTAGTTTGTAAAGAGCTTACAATCACACTGTAGAAGATCCTCAAAAAGCAATTATATTTTCTACACAACAAGGTCCATATTTCATACTAACTTTTAAACTTATCGCGTTTCATGTTTAGGTGCAACATATTACGCAGGTATTAACGCGAAAAGTTATTATTTAAATACCTTGGAAGGCTTGACGTTTCGACCTGGTTGCACAGGTCGTGGTCGCAAGCAGACTGTTTCCCATATTTTATACTGAGTATCCCCCTATCCTTAAATCCCAAGTAACCCCCACAAAAGTACCTAACGCACTTGTAGTAACTCCTTTGTTGATACGAGTGTCCATAGGCGGAATCGATTGCTTACCATCAGGTTATCCGCTCGTTTGGCGACCGATTCCAAAAAAGGTAAAGTATTATGAGAGTTGGGATGAAACCAATTTTTTTATATAGTTCGGTAAACGAGTAGACCGATTACCTAATGGAAAGCAATCAGCGCCGCCCATGGACACCCGCAATAACAGAGACTTTACGATGACTTTCCCTACCTCTTGGGGATTAGGGAGTTGGAGATTTAGGGATTGGAGAAGGGGAAGAATTGGGCCTCCAGTAACCTCACTAACACGGCGAAATACACCGCTGTGGTTGTTTCACGCCGGTTTTCTGCGGCCGAGCGGACCCATTCGTGCCAAAGCATGGCTCTCCCACACTTAGAATGTATTTTGCATATTGAAATATTGCAATAGGACAGTTACCTGTATAATCTTAATCCTGTTTGGTGCGGCGGCGACGGCTTGAGCGTCGCAGTCGATGGTGAGACTGGGCACGGAGTACGCCAGGCACAGCGCCACCGGCAGCTGGCCGCGGCCCCCGCCCGCTTCTACGCAGCACTGCGCCCCGCGCGCTGCCTGCAGGGACGCGACTAGTGCCGACATTGTTTGTACCTAAAGAAGAAAAAAGAAGTAACTTAAAAATTTGTTGCTGGTGAAATAGGGAGATATTAAATTGAAAAAATCACAAGTTTTTTATTACTGTATTTCTTCCAAACACCTATCAAAAAATGTGTTAAAAACACCCTGTTGGTATATCATTGTTTAAGTATATATTGCGCAGAAAATAGCACAAAAGCAGACGGATAACCTGATGGTAAGCCATCGGCGCCGCCCATGAACACCCGCAACACCAAAGGAGTTACGAGTGCGTTACCGGCCTTTTGGGAATAAGGGTTGCGGATATTTGAGGATTGTGAAGGAATAGGGGAGGGGGAGGGATTGGGCCACCGGTACCTTTAGTCACACAGCGAAACACGAAGTTTCACGCCGGTTTCCTTTGAGGCCGTGGTATCATTCCGTTCGAGCCATTTGTGCCAAAGCTTGGCTCTCCCACACTTAAACTTAAGGCTACAGCAGTTATCTCTGTAACTGCGTTTTCCTGAAATTGCTAAAGAGAGCTCTAAATTCAAATATCAAGTTCAATTTAAAGATTCACACATCATACCTCATAACTCTTTTTGCTGGTCATAAACTCCTTGACCCTGATCTCCGGTTTAATCTCCCCACCCCACGCCTTGATGCGTTCCCGGAGCTGTTCAGCTGACAAGCAGTAGTCATTGTTGACAGAAACACAGTGGGAACGGGCTGTGTGGATCCAGTTGGCTAGGATACAAGTGTCTGAAAAAGTTGAAAGTATTGTTTACCTTTCTATTAGGTAATATTTGGCTTTATTCAACAATTCTTTGTGTGAAGCAAAAATGTTTGTTTGACCCTGGTCCAGTTATCAGTTCAGTCAAAGTATGCAACTATAGCAACATGGGGAAGTTAAAAATATATATTGAAACAATGAAACAATGAATTTATTTTTGCAAATAGGCCATAAAACGGCACTTTTACAAGTCATTGAACTAGCTTAATAAGATTATTAACGTTTAATTGAATTGCTTCAGTATAATTTTGGTAACTATGTATTTGTTTCGGTATGTGCCTATTGCAGTTCTGACATGACTAAACCTAGCATTCTGGTAGCAAGACAAAAATCCCTTCACTCTTGAACTAAAAGCTTGAATGAGAAATTCAGTCATTCAATAAATCAGCTATTCATTCAGGCCTTTATTTGAATAACCGAGTAAGCCAGTTGCCATTTAAGTACGAAAAAATTTACAATACTATTAAGAAAGTTAGGTTTAACTTTTGGAGTGGCAGCCAGTTGCTCAGCCACAACCAACCATGCAGTCAGTTACATTAAAAAAAGTAAGTATACCTTTTGTTTCTTTGCTTTCAGCTGCAGTCCAGAATTGTTTCAGTGCCTCATTGAACTGTAAGCCATTAAGAACCTCTCTCAAAGGTACAGGTAAAAGATTGTCCCAGTGGTTCTGAGTTATAAACTCCACCATGTGACAGTTGGCTATTGGCAGGAGTGGTGTCAAGTATTTGGTGAGAGAATCAATGTGGAGGTGAATTTTCAAAAGTCTTGTATTCATTGATAAATCTAAAAAAAAAAAGAAACAATAGCTTAATTATTTTAAAAGAAGAGTACAGCTACAGTCAGCAATGAAACGGAAACTCTCAACATTTTAAAAGAACAAAAAAATATGTCTTATTACTTACTACTATCCTCAAAATGAGACTCCTGCATCATAAGGATTGGTTGAAGATATGTTCAATAAAGCGCAGGCCTTTTTATACTGTCCCCTTATGGTCTCAGCCATGCCCAGTATATCGTGATCTTCCGAATTAGTTTTCGGGAATGAATTAATGAGGTCTTGCACTTTGGTGAGTTGTGCTAAAACTTTTTCAGAATATTTCTTCTCTGACTCTTGATTAAGATTTTTATAATGCGTGATAATGCCCAAGTAGTAGCCTGGAAATAGTGAGTTTAATAACAGAAACAATTTGAATGTATAAACAAATACAACAAAAAAAAATTAGAATAGAATCATTTACTTACTTATGTTATTTAACTCAGAAAACTGTACAAGTCTAATTAATATCAATTAACATTAATAATAATGTTGTGATAGAAGTTAATCTTACAAGGAATTAAATTTGGTGCGTTTTGGTTAAACATTGGTACATGGTACCTTTGACTTTTTAGCTGGCCAAAATTTTATTATTTTACCTAGTTCTCGTCCTAGTTCTGCACCTCTATGGTATCCTAAATGATAGCCTTCCGGATTTCCTGCTTCGCTTCCAGCTTTGAAACCTTGTTCATAACTTGCCTTGTGTTCCCTCTCTTCACCTAGAACAATGTCGTCTAAGATATCGTTAAAATCTTTTTCTTCAGCCATTACCAAGTTTTTGGTCCGTTGTTACCATATTAAACTAGTATTTACAATAGAATAAAACGTGAACTTTGTAAGATTTAGGTTATGCTGTTGATTGTTTACAAAAATGACATATTACGACAAGTTATTCCTCGCCATTGAGATAGAAAATATACTATGTCAATGTTCCTCGCACAGCAACAATCTGAACACTTCTATTATTTAAATTCAAATTATTATATTTTATTTAAATTCGATATTGATTAACTAATTTAATAAAAAAAATTGTCAGTTCAAGTTTAATCATTCAACAAATCTGTTATTAGGTAGCAAGTTTTTCAAAATACTTTGAATAAGATAGGTTGTATTCTCATGAAACGAAACGTTGCAGGCCTTGAATTTCGATTGGTGGAATAATGAATAAAACCAATCATATGTCTTTGACAGTGACATAATTTTTTCCTTGCAACTGTAAGGTTAACAACCTTGACAACTTGACATTATTCGGTCCAATTTGGTCATACATACCTAAATCGAAAAATACAAATTAAAAATTAAATAAAGTAATAACCATAGTTTCAAAATGAGTAAAGTATTCACAGCAGACGAAGTTAAACGGCATAATACAAGAAAGAGTGTGTGGATGGTAATCCGTAATGAAGTGTACGACGTGACTTCATTTGTTGACGAGGTGAGCGAAAAAACTATTAAAACATAGAACAAAGTAGTTTCTTATTCATTATCTACGCAGTTAAATTCGTGGAAGGAAATTCCCTTTCCTAAGATCATCATTTTAAGATTTTTATGTTAACACCACCTGTTACTTCTGGTACTGTTTTCTACGTGTAAAACCGACCTTATTACAAAGTTTGCGTAAATTCATGAACATTGAATGTGCGCGTTTATATTTTTAAACAATACGCTTTCGTTGGTTCGTGCAAACACAATGATATGAGTTGGAGAAGGAAGAGTTTTTTTAGTAAATAAGACTGAAATAACGGAGAAGGTTTTAGTTGAACTCTGTTGCTCAGGGCGTGAGAAGTCATTAAATGATTTCCTCCTCAAAATAGATAAATTCTGCAATAGATCATCAAGATTTTTTAAATTATTGGTCTTATAAAATATTTTTAATAATTAGGATGCACAAAATAATTACCTACATAAAAATAAATTTGGGGATACATTTAATTAAAAGACATTTATGTTGACAGTTGCTTCCACACCTTAGACAAGTTTCTGACTATACAGTGCAATTGCTTTGTCGTTGAAATAATTATGTAGGTATTCTATTGTGATCAACACTTCACTAAATTATTTTATGGTGTAATTATTGTTGGTTGGTGGTTTTGTAATTTGCCTACAAACATAACATAATTTTGCATGCCAAAAATAGGCCGCATTTATTTGAAATTAATATTAAAATTTGTGATCTGTGCCTGATTAACATATTTTGTGCAAATAAATATTAGACAAGACATATTACATATTTGATAGTAGACAAGAAACATATGTAATGGAAAAAAAATTTAGATTGCATTATGAAAGTAATGGATTAAACGGTAGCTGGGCTGCCACACAATGTGCCACATGTTCGATTCCCACACGGAACAATCTTGTGTGAACCACAAGTTGTTGTTGTGGATCAGGATGTGATGTGTATGTGAAATTGTATGTTTGTAAATGTACCCACAACACAGGAGAAAATCTGGTGTGGGGCAACATATTAGTATCTTTACATAAAATATTCCTAATTTGTACTTTAAAGCTATATGAAGATTATAATGTCTCAAAACATGAATAGAAAACCATATCCAAAGTGTGTTGAGCTGTTCCTCACACATTTTTAATTAAAACTGCACGTAACATGAAGAACTTTCTTTACCCTTATAAGACAATTCCAGAAATACTTCTTTCAATTACCATACTATACACAAATATACAATCTATAACATCCAAGTTAGATCTTTTTACAGCTAGAATAAACTCCTTGAAACCTACCATTGTTGTGGTCACCGAAACATGGCTTAAACCAAATATACCGGACTCAATGATAAAAATACCTGGTTACAACATATATCGAGACGACCGGATTGACAAACGCAGTGGTGGAGTGGCAATATATGTCTCTCATAATACAACTTACATGAAAACCAAAATAAATACCAACTTTAATAAGAAACATGAAGCTTCCGAATGCATATGGCTCTATGTTAATATTGGAAATCAAAAGTTTTTACTATGTGGATTATATAGAGGACATCATTCCGGATTAGAACAGGATAATAGTATGTTGGAACAAATAAGTCAGGTTTCGGAGACTAATACAGTAATTGTGATGGGAGACTTCAACTATGGAGGAGTTAAATGGCCATTTGAAGATTCCGGGTATATCACACCCCTAGAGGATAACTTTGTGCAATGGTATAAAAATAGCAATATCCAGCAGCTAATACATAGGCACACAAGATTTAGACAAGGAAATCAACCATCATTCTTAGATCTAGTTCTGACAAATGATGAGTCACTTATAGCAGGGATTGAACACATAGCCCCCATAAAAAAAAGGTAAAAGTGATCATACCTGTTTGTTGGCAACTTTACAACTGCAATTGCAAAAATATACAAAGAAAACAACCACCAGACTTAACTTCAAAAAAGCAAACTATGACAAAATTAACAAAAAACTATCAGACACATTACCAACACTTATGAAAAATTTAACCTGTACAAGAGCACAATTTGAAGTATTTCTCAAAACATTAAATGAAGCTATTGATTTATATGTACCTCGAACAAGAGTTACACATAGTACCACAAATAAACCATGGATATGTAAGGATATAAAAGATCTTATTAATAAGAAAATTGAGCTATGGAATAGATACATACTTACTGGACATGACAATCACTACAAGGACTATAGAAGAATGAACAATAAATTTATAAACCTAACCAGGAATGCCCGTAAGACGTATGAAGAAACTATTTTACACGAGGGGCCGAAGAAGTTTTACTCATATATTAGGCAACAAATAGCATCAAAGGTTAGCATCCCAAGTGTTCTGTGCAACAAACAAGGTGAAATTGTAACCAAACCGCATGATATTGCACAGACATTTGCGGACCAGTTTTCCAGTGTCTACCAATTAGAACCCCAGAATCAGTTGCAAATTTTAGATCCACAACTAAGAGTAACGGATTCTATCCTGGATATACAGTTCTCGCCTAACAAAATCAAGCAAGCCATAAATGAAATGAAAAACGATTCCTCGCCAGGACCAGATGACATAAACATATCAATACTAAAGAATTGTGACCTAGGAGATTATCTTTCAACAATAATGCAGACATCATATGAAACTGGAATACTGCCAGAGTTATGGAAAACAGCAAGTGTGACCCCAATTTTCAAGAAAGGAAGTAAATTAGATCCATCAAATTACAGGCCTATAAGCTTAACCAGTGTAGTATGTAAAGTGATGGAAAAAATTATAGTCAAACATATTAGGAATTTCCTGGCAACCAAACAAATCATTCCTGAACAGCAACATGGCTTTTGCCCGCATCGTTCCACAGTGTCTAACCTACTGTCATGCTTATCTTTTTGGACTAGGCATTTTAATAAAAGGGAACCTGTTGATGTCATTTATGTAGACTACGAAAAAGCCTTCGACAAAGTCCCTATAAAGAGACTTCTACACAAATTAGAATTTGTAGGAATACGCGGAAAACTACTAAGTTGGATTGAAGCTTTCCTGCAGCAAAGAACCTTTCAAGTACGAGTGGGTGAAGCACTATCAGATCATCGGGAAACTCTCAGCGGCGTCCCACAAGGCTCCGTACTGGGACCAGTGCTGTACATAATTTATACATTCGACCTTCCCCATTGCCTACAGTGTAATGTGAGCATATTTGCGGATGACACAAAAATATTTGCAAACCCGTTGATCGACCATGACCGCCTGCAGGACGACCTCAACAAAGTAGCCCAGTGGTCTAAGGAATGGCTCATAAACTTAAATGCTTCAAAGTGCACGGTTTTGCATATAGACAAACGCAATCCCCGACTTACTTATACGCTAAATGGAACCAGCTTGAAAAATGTAAAGGAGCAAACAGACTTGGGAGTAAGGATTACAGAAGACCTTAAATGGGAACAGCATATAACTACAGTCAGCAAGAAAGCTAAAGGCCTTATCTACCTTCTAAAGAAAGCTTTTGGTAACTTAACACCTGAAATGATGATCAAGATCTACAAAGCTTTTATAAGACCAATCTTAGAGTATGCTTTTCAGGTGTGGAATCCATACTTTGTAAAGGACATACAGGCCCTAGAGAGAGTGCAGCGTAGTTTCACTAAAATACCTAGAAGACTGAAACAAAAATCTTATGAAGACCGCTTAAAAATTTTGAATATCCCATCTTTAAAGGATCGCAGGGACCGTGGAGACCTAATTGAAACATACAAAATTTTGACTGGACATTACAATCTAAAGGACTTCGACCAGCTGTTCACACGCAACGAAAACACCCACCTTAGAGGCCATCACTTAAAACTTAGCACTAACCACGGAGTAAGAACAAAGAGGAGATGTCATAATTAGATTTCCCTAAGAAACACCGCGTGATATTTTGCGGGGTGAGGGGGTATTAGACTCCGCCCACTTTTTTATTTGCCATCTGCCGGTCTATAGCAATACTACTCGCTCATTCAATTTACTTCTTTTTGTAGTTATGTAACTATTTCACAATAGATGTCACTAACGCAACAGGGTCGTACTTAGAATTTACCAAGGAGTTGTTTTAAAAAGTTTTTTGTAAATACATTTGCGAATCATCTTGATACGCATTTTTTTTATCGAAATAGTAATAAATATCTATTATTGGTGAATGAGAATCATTCTACATTTATCAAAACCATATTTTTCATTTAAAAGGGGTTATTTCGTTACGGGCGTAGCCTGAAGCAGAAACTCGTGTACAATGCTTCCAGGGCTGATGCCCTGCTGATAACTGGTTCTTTGTGATAACGAGTGTTATTATTAGATATGTTCTGTCTTTTCGTCACGCCTAAACTACTGAACCTATTTGAGTGAAATTTGGTACAGACATAGTTTGGAACTCGAGAAAGGACATAGGATAGTTTCTAAACCCAAAATCTACAGGAATTCACTATTCCACGCGAACAAAGTCGTGGGCAAAAGCTAGTTTCTAATAATTGTTTTGATAACTCTTGGCAGTTGCATCATTACGTAGCTGAATACGCATTATTACTAAAGTTCAGTGTCAATTTTCGTATACATCTCCAAATAACTGATGACTTCAAACAGGTTTTTCATCAGCAGGAGTTGATCGAGGAATGACAGGCAATGTTTGACGAAAGCCCCCTGACAGCAATATCAGAGCACCACGAAAAACCTGTTGAGTATCGCGTAAATTTTGCATGGTTCGATTAAATGCTTCTCTATTGATTTTTTATTCGCCATTGTATGTGTGCATCCCATAAAATAATTGACGTTAGTTGCAAAACTTTTGCCATAGCAGAATTTCTCGAAATATAACAATTTGCACTTTAAATCACCTGTACATTCAATAGCAATGCTAATGAAGAGTGTGCGGTCCTACCACCTTCTAATAATGTAACAGCAATCGTCTTAATTTGCATTACGTGTTCGCTGGTTTTACCTCAACAATATTTTGGATCATAAAAACACAAAACAATAACTCAACAATATTTTGGAACAATAACGAACATTACATCTAATTAACTAGTGGTATGTTAAATGCTATTCCAAAGTTAATAATACCGCCAGATTCTTCATATATAACACATCCTAATGCGAAATGCCATATATAACACATCCTAATTATCTTCACGACTGTCATAGGTACTATTCACCATGAAAAACGAACAAAACCTGCCCTAATGTGACGACATATTTCGAAATAAACGAACAATGGAACGAATGATATGTACGAAGGACAGAGTATGTTGTGGGCATTTCATAGGCTTACCGGCGAAACATATCTGAGTCGTATGATCCAAGTCCTGATGCCCTTAATTTGGGGTTGAAATAAAAACCGAAGAGGAACTTTAGAAGTATAAATAAGGTCGTTCAGTTTCAAACACTCAGGCACTAAGATTTAGCACTCACAGCGTGCGTGAGGTGCGCTAAATTTGAGTGATTCCATTCGCGACTTAAATAAATCAACGATATAAACCTTAAAAAGTAATTGACTCCTAATTACTACCCTGTCTTTATTTATGTTTTACTACTTGACGATAGATGGCAGTCTGTTTATAAAATGATATAAAAGTTACATAAATAATATTTTGGCGATTAAAGGATCTTTAGGAATGCATGTCGATCAAATTACTATACAAACGATCATTAAAATATACTAATACTGAACTATGCGTACCTATAAAAATTTCGTTTCTATGATACAAAGTGTCGACATCTAGTGTCGCGTAGATTGATAATTGGAAGCGCTGACAATAAGAGACTTTGCTAGAACTATTTTAATAAATGACGAATAAAATAACGTATACATGAAAAGTGATGCCATCCATAGCACCGTAACGTTTATCATAGTATTTTTTACAAGATAAAACACAAGACTTCATTTTGTTTTCTTTTGTCACGAGTAAAATGAATATTTTATAGGAGTTGTGCACAGGACGAACGACCACATTACACTGACGTAAGCCACGCCCACATTGATGACGTGAGGGCCGACTTGTGTCACAGGGCCGAGTTGCTTAGGCCGTCTCCTCTTTGTTCTTACTCCGTGGCACTAACAGATCACATAACAATCCTCACAGACACTTTCTTAGTAATAGAGTAGTTGCAGCGTGGAACAAGCTCCCGGAAAATGTGGTTTCAGCTCTAAATTTGAACCAATTTAAAAATCGACTGGATAAATATTTATTGAACTGCAAGAAAAATGAACTAGTGGAAAATTAACAGGATGCGGGCATTATCAGTTGTTTCAACTGCCTGCCTGTCTACAAATAATAATAATAATAAACTGATCAGTATAGTTAAGGTTTGAATCTGTCATCTGTTTATGTAATATTTCTAACTATCTTAATAATGCAAGTTTTCAGTGTGGTTGCGTCACACAATCACCAACACTGTGACAATAGAAAATTCATTGATTAGGTATATTATCTATTCTTATCACTATAGAAACTACAATGGAATATAGCTCCAAGATTTATATTTAGTATTGAAGTGATAAAAGGTTCTTAGATAGTTTACGTAGGAAGTTTAAAATATAACATCATATATTTTGTGAATGAAATGAATCTCAAAATATACAATATTAATTTTTTTCATAATATTCATAGTCGTTGTTTTCTTTCACATAAAAACGACTGGACCAATGTGGTTTTAGTTTGGTACCTATGTCGATAGATAACTAATTAATTTTTCATCAATATGCCACGGGGGCTGTAGCTACATACATAGTTTACGAGTACGATGTCGCCATAAAAACATTAACTTAAAAATAATTGTAAGCTGTCCGCCCTCTTCGCACGGTTCCTACTATCTCGCTAACAACGAAAGGGTTTTCCCTTCTACTTTTCCAATATTTTCTTAGATAGATAAATAACTTATGAAACGTGGGTATACACTTTCTATTCAATACATCTCTGGCGGTCCTAGTTTGCTAAAGTAATAAAGTCCAGTATCGGAACCAAATAATGACTCAAGGTTGAATCTATAATATTTGCTTCGTCATGTTTGTGTCTCTTATTTATAACGCTAATTCGGTAGTTTGCAACTAGTCAAATTCAGTATTTTTATTGAAAATGTCAAAAACGATACTTGATTTTGTATCACGTCGAAACATACGACGTCATAATGTTTTTGCGTCAAACAACATACTTATTATTAAAAAGTTAATAAAAAAATCTTAAATTTAAGTATATCGTCATATCAATAAATGCAATTATGATTATAACTTAATAATTCATAGTGTTGAGAAGTCAAAATAATTTATTTTTAATTTAGGAAATTAGGTAGGTTCTACATGTTTGTCCAAACTTTGGCGCCAACACGACCAACTAGTAACTAGTCTGTTAAAACTTTTAATTTTACCTTTAATTGCTAAAGAATAATATATATTTGGGATAGCAATTTGAATTGTACATGTCACCGAAAAATAACAAGATCCATAAGTTTATCAATTTACTAGGAAGTCTTACTTTCGTAAGATTCTAAACCGGAGATAAATTGTAATATTTCACGTCCACATTTTCGTAAATTTATAAATTTCTGACGTCATACGGTAAATTTATAAACTAACGAATATCTATTCGTAAGATTTTATATGGTTCGACCAATCACAGAAACTCTTTTAAATATACGATCTTTGAAATACGTAATATAACACACTGCTCTCTGATTGGTCAATGTTCATAGTGGCGATGCTTGTGTCCATAGAATTTGGAATAATCAGACTTGACAAACTATAAACTGGAAGCGACAATGCCTGGTTCCTCTCTGGCACGGATGTAGTTAGTTGAGTTTTTTATTATCAGTTTCAATAAGCTATTTAACAGTAACTTGCTAAAATACAGTTCCGTGGCCAACGTGACAGCCAACCAATCAGATCGCGCGTAGCGTTTGCTTACTGCTTACTTATTATTTTACGAGTGAGTTCAGTAAGTTTATCAATTTACGTAAATGTGGACGTAAAATATTACAATTTATCCCCCGTTTAGAATCTTACGAAAGTTTATAAACTTCCTAGTAAAATGATAAACTTACGGATCTTGTTATTTTCCGGTGACATACATATTTATAAGGCCTTCTTATTTTATAAGAAGGGAAAATCATCAAATTAATTCTCTAGCCAAGGGTATAGCGTGTCAGAGAGAGAGAGTGTCAGACTCTTACTGACTGAACACCCTCCAGTTCCTTCTCCTGCTACAGACCGAGGCCGCGTTTTGTGCTTGACACGAGAGCTTGTCATATTTCTTTTTTTAAACATTGCCCCACACTAGCAATCTCTCCTGTGTCGTGAGTTCAAGTTTACAAACATAGAATTTTACAAATACATCACACCCAGATCCGGAAGAATTTGTCGATTACAAAAAGAGTTGTATGCGACACATTGCGCGGCAGCCAGTTGCCCAACCACCGCGCCAAATGACCAGTGCCGTCAAAATTGATGAGGTCTGTTGTACCTATGCATTCGGTCATTGAAGCTTATGATAGATTCTTATAAATTAATGAAATCAAACTCATCTGTGTCCTTGAGCATCGTAGGTCACTTCATAGTAGAAAAATTGCCTGCCTGTTTACTCCATACCATAAAACTCTACCTAACTATTAAACAAAACATTTTATAGTATCAGTTGACAGTATTGAATAATATTCTCTAATATAATATAATTTTTTATCGTAAAGCATCCAGGTGGAGAGGATCCCATGTTGGATGCAGCAGGGCAGGATGCAACGATAGCATTTGAAGATATAGGCCACAGTGAAGATGCCAAGTAAGTTTAATATAATATTATTATTATCTGATGTTATTAAAAACATATGGTTTAAAGAAATAGATTATTCTTCTGACACATCCATACTTTTTTTGAAAAACAAGGAGTTTTTATTGCAAAAACGAAATGCTTAAAACAATTAATTTCTGTTACAGAGCAATGTTGAAAAAATATAAAATTGGAAGCCTAGCACCGGGAGAAGGATGGTAAGTATCACATTATATACAAAATTTAGGAACATAAAAACTCTATGCTTAATGTCAACATGAAAAACCTTTGGTCCTCCATAGATACGCAATATGAAAATCCAAGAAAAAAAATTGTAAAATATAAATACTATTTTCTAAAAAGTAAGCAAAAGAAACTCCTCCATATTGAAATGGCTATAAAATAATCTAAATTGTTTGCAGTTGTAAAATGAGAGCTAAATTGTGGAGATCAAGGTAAAATACATTGTATTGTTACAATAGTGTACACTGTACAATAACTTTAGATCTTATCACATAAATATTAAGGTATATATTTAGATATAAGACACAGTTGGATACGTATTATTTTTATGTAAACTCATTATCTTCGTGATTGTGTTCTTTAAATAGCAACAATGTAAATATGTAACCGTTACCTTATTTACGAACCTTTGATTTTAATCTTAAAGTCTATTTTTGTATGTACATAGAGTATTGTTGTGATGTACTATATACCTAATTGTATCTATTTATTTATCTACACTGGAAATAATTTAGCGTAATCGTTATATCAAAAGTACGAATTTAATTCTATATATAGAAATTAGCTGATCTAGTTAGATAATAACTAAGTATTTTTGGGTAAATAGTATTTAAGTGATTAGATAACTCTTTATGAGCTAAAAATAAATACTGGTGATAATAACGATACAGGCAAACGAGTATATCAAAGGTTCAATTCAATTTTCAATTCAATTCTTTATTTGCATTCCATATGTTATACAGGTGATATTTTATAAAGTTGACACAATATATTAGAAACAATATGGACCCGTTAGGGCACAGCATAAAGAGTTTGGAGAGGTTTATTATACAGTATATATTATCTAGTTTTGTATTATATCTATGCTTATTACTAAAACTGAAGTACACATAGGTTACAACTGCCAGCCGATTTAAAAAAAAAAGTTTTTGACGTAGGTAAGTCTCCATGGTGAAAACTTTTTTCTATTTTTTTCTAAAATTACATATTGTGTTCATTTAAGAATTTCATTTTTCTTTTACCGAATGCGTCTGACCTGTCCGCATTAATTTTAAAGGTACCTACTTAGATGATACATTTGTGTCAACTGACCGTTAGATTCAAGACTTAGGACATGATAAGTTTCTAAGCTTGCTTGAGTTAGGGCAAATCCCTGTCGATACCTCAGAGAGCCCTTAAAAAGAGAAAAGTCCTGATTACCATACCTTAATGTTTGATAGTAATGTTATTGGCTATCCAAATTGATTTATGGAAGCAGATAAATATTATAAATTATTGTAGTTAGAATCCAGTAGTTTTTTTTATTTTATTATTGGATAAGTACTAATTGGAAGTTTTTACAATCCGTACAGTTCAAAATATCACCGAGAATGCACCGAGTGTAACGCTAGCAGGTATTTTTTTTAAGTTTTAATTTTGTGGCTATATGTGGATTAGACTGATTTTGTATCAGGACTAAGTACAGTAATTATCAATGGTCTCTTTTAACACAACATAATGTGTGTGATAGCTAGTTCAGCTTTGAAATTCTTGTGTTTTGTTAAAAAAGAGGTCATGGACTGTTGGTTTTTATGTACCCACACAAAATTAGCGTTGGGGCCGGTCCTAAGATGGTACAATTAGTGCGACTGTAGCGCCTCGACTGGAGGACGAGCTAAAAAAACTAATTCACGATAAAAGATGCACGTTCGATCATTTTTCAAAAAGACATATTTGTTTCTTGCACCACTTAAAATGTGGGTATGGCACCGTGTTACGTCATAACCATGGTTGATAAATACAATGGCTGTTCTTAAAGACAGGAGGACATTTGGCAAACCTTATCGAAAACAAAAAAATCGTATATTTACAACGATCGAATTACATTTATGTAACGCATTTCAAGGCGAACACTGAAATTGCGTCAGTCGTACTAGATATATCAAATTCACATATCGACTGATGGAAGTATTATTTTTAAATGTTTTTCGTGACATTGTTACCAAGGGGCCAGTATTTGTAGTTCTGTATTTTTTTTTTACTGTACAACGAGATACAAGATATAGAAAAACAAGAAAGCTACAGATTATCTGAGACCCTGGTTGAACCGGCTTTCTCACTTGGTTGAAAATAAAAGTAACAATAGTTGTTGAACCTTTTATATTTCAACCCAGTACCGCATTAGATAGCAATAAGAGGATCTGCCATTTTGAGAAAAAAATGCAGGTCATTGATGAAATAGCCAGGCAGATAAACACCTAAATTTATACATATTCACGTTCAAGTCCTATTTGAAACACCGATTTAAAATTAATGAATGTTGCCAGTTGGGGAGACTGTCGTTATGACTTGTTCTCTTTTTCAAAATGGCTGAAATACGTCTGATCTCTAGTCAACCAGAGTTTTTTTTACTAGCCCCATTTTTAGCAATATTCGACAATTATAATGGATGTATACTTATATATTAAATTTTTGCTTTTTGTTCCCAACCTTTTTCTGTTTATGCTAAATTTGCCTATTTAAAAAAAAACGCTTGTTGACTAGCTTAAACTTGTTTAAGATTAAGTTCATGTTTATCAATTTGTAATCCAATTAGTGTTAACCCTGGCACAAGCGATGAAAAACCGTGGCGATACTACGATGGTGGCACTCCAACCTCACTCAGGTTAAGACTGCTTATTTTTATATAGCAACAATTTTATAATTAAAAAAAAAATATGTGAGGCAGCTTGCAGCATTCTATAGCGTGATTAAACAGTTTGAAAAAAAAATAACTAAATTTATGAAGGTTAAGTTCCATAGACCAAAGTATAATTTGCTTATTTCATTCTCTAGTCTGTCATGCTTTAGGGTCCGATAAGATCATTTGCCGCACTAGCGCCAACGGCATGTGGCGGTCGCAGAAACGAATTGAATACCAGAATACAACAATTATTGTAATGAAAATCGCTTGGAGTTCTGCATTGTAATAGTTAGATAGATTACTGCAGATTTCTACTGCCGTTTTTAAAGTATTCTCCGTAGAATTTTCGATGTTATTATTAGTTAGAAAAGCTCACACAAATTGCTTTATTAGATATTATGATTTCGTTAGAAATATGTATTTATTAACTTATTAATTTTGTAACAGCCGAAAGTCGTCAATGAAATGTTTTAAAGAGCCTGTTATACCTAGGCCAGAGAGGAGAATACAGCATATAGTGGTGCCAAAGGAAAGGTTGAACTTTTTATTATACTTAATTGTCATAGCAATTAATCTGTAGAAATAAATTGTTAGCTTCAACATTCGTCTTCACCTTAAATTGGTGAAGCCCTTATCCAATTTCTGACTATAATTTTGATCTAATAAATACTTTTTTTTTACTTCACTCTAAATAGATAGATATATAATTTAACTTTTTTTGTTTCAAGACGACGACGGCCTCGAGGTCTGCCTTGTGCAGAACCAAGGTTTCAATATTTTTCTTAATGTTCAACGTTACGGCATAGAATGTACCTATGTTAGTTAGAGTGTAAATAAGTAGTTAATAGATAAGTACATAATCGTATTGTAACTTCATGCTCGTTATCCTTACGTAGAAACAGAACTCTAAGCATAAACAGTCGGGGTTTAAGCGCAATGAGGCACCGCGGCCTCAGCCTAAAGCAGGAGAAGGAACGCGAGGGTTTTTAGTCAGTGAGAGTCTGACACTCCCTCTCGCCTTACCCTGGGCGGGAGGTCATTTGATAAAGCATAAAGTGATTTTACAAACATGCTAAGTCTTAAAACATTATAATAATAATAATTACTTAAATCTTTAGAAATAAAAATGGCTGCCAGTTGACAGCTGCCATCTTGTACGTCACGGTTGTCATCGCACTGTAAAAGGGTAACTAAACGTCGTTTAGAATTTGTGTTTACCTCCAAGGGTATTTTATTACCTGTTACTTAATTTCATATTATTTTGTTTGAATATTGTCTTGAGTTCTGCAGATCCTGTAAGAAAACGAGCTTGAAGATGTGTATAATGTTGATTTTGTTATTTTTAAAGGCGTGGAAAGCCTTGTAGGCCAGTTGCGCCGCCGCCTCCTCCACGCCAAGAGGGGTAATGTAACTGGCAATAAGTGGTATAGCTTAGTGTAAATGTAATGAGAGTATTATATATATTATTATTAGTATTATAGTATTAATACCCGTACCTACTACAGTAATAAAGTTGAAAAAATCACATTGTAGACGTAATATTTGAAATACTTTCTTTTAAAAAGTGTGATTTAATACGATTGTAAATTACAGAATATAAAACGTGTTTATTTATTAACAGTTAATCCGTTTAGTTTTGTCTGTAGGTGTCTATGACGTTTTACGGTAACTTAGCTAGTTTAATTGTAGTTTTCTAAGCTACTGACTGTTATTGTTGATTTATTATAATTGTAACTTAGCATGTACTAAGTTTATTTATGTAGCACTTTCCTAAAATAGTGATTTGTCGATAGAAGAAAATTACTTAATATTTTTCAGATTGATGTTTTCACTTGCATATGTTATTAAATTTAACGTTTAGGTATTGCGTTTATGGTAGGACAAAAGATTTTTTTACGTAAAAAATATTTTTTAAGCAATGTAGTTCAAATTGCACTTGTCGCACAATAAATGTCGAATCTATTGTCATGCAATGCAATTTGTAGAAAACTCATTTTAAAAATATCAATGCTATTTATTTCGTAACTTACTCTCAAACAAACGGTGCCTATATTTTTTATTTTTTTTCAGCAGCAGTTCTCGGTTGAAGTATGCCTTGTTGGCGTTGGGTGTAGCTGTCCTTCTTGGAATTGCATACAAGAAATACGCGTCAAGCTAAAATATGAAACACAACACACACAGTAGAGGTCCAAAAATCTGGTTAAATCCAGTCCAGGTCTAGTGTAAGTCTAAGTTGAACCAATCGGGACTGTGTCTCAATTGTCAAGGCCACTGAGGAATATCCCCCTTATTTCAACGTCTATTTAAATCGTCTGTGAATTTATTTATATAAATATTGTCTTCGAGAAGTTAAGGTTCAAAATTGTATGTATTTGTCCGTATCGTGAGGTTGAGTTACTTCAGTGGTCGCAAAGAAGTGTATTTCTTAGAGTTCATGTATGTAAAACAGTTTTTTTGAAGTCTGTTAGCATAATGTAGGTGCTTTATTAATGTTAATGTTTACAAAGTGATATATACTATAATCTATTATACTCAGTGTCTATTTATTGGACCGTAAATTTTTATTAAGTTTGGTGAAAAATAAAAGCCACGTTTGAACAACATTTTTTTTACTAATTCGTCTTCACATTCTCTTGCAGTAAAGCACTATAACGATGCGTTTATATTGTGATACATTTATGTACAAATCGTTTATACAACTGTTACAATGTTCTTGTTTTATGACATAATGCAATAAAGTAGTAAATCGTGAAATATTGTGTTTTTATATCTTTGGCTGTAGTTATTAGCATATTTATTATAACAAACTATCACAGAAGAATTATATCATTCTGCTGTAAAATGCACAAACATTGCGAAAGGAACTGTGTTTATAGTCATATTTGACGTTAAATAAAATAAATAAAAAAGTATAAAATTACAAAATCAAAGAAAGACAGGGTGCTAGCGTATCTATGGGCGTACCGCAGGGCTTAATATTAGGTCCTTTTCTATTTTTAGTTTATGTGAATGACCTTCGCCATTTGTCCCAAAATGAACCGCATATGGTATTATCGCTGGTGTCACTTGACTGATTTTTGCAATAAATAGACAATCATATGACGAAGTTAATAATGAAGGTTCAAAATTGGTTTACAATAAACAACTTAATACTAAACGAAAAAACATTTGATTTATTTTACCGGGTGTTATAAATTACGTATGTGATGATACATTTTTAAATTATCAGAAACTAATATTTGTAAAAAAGACTACTTTCCTGGGGATTGCTGTAGACGACAAGTTGCAATGGGGGCCCACATCAGGTCTCTAGCAGGACAATTGAGCTCTGCAGCTTATGCTGTCTGGAAGATCCGTCAGCTAACCGACGTTACCGACCGACCGGTACGGCAAGACTAGTGTACTTTAGCTACTTTCATAGCATCATGTCGTATGGAATTCAGTTTTGGGAACAGGCATCCGACGTTGAGTCTACCTTTATCTTGCAAAAGCGTGCCGTCAGAGCTATCTATAACTTAGATCGTCGCGAATAACTCAGAGAAAAGTTTAAGGAGTACCGAGTAATAAATAAAGTACCGAGTCAATTTATTTATGAAAACATTATGTATGTTAGGACAAAACCTACACTTATTTGTAAAGGTATCTGACAAACATGATTATCATACTAGACATAGGAATAGATTAACACATTCAGTGCCCCCGACGCGTATGTGCGTGCGAGGAAACGCACATACGCGTCGGGGGCACTGAATGTGTTAAGTCAGCCTTTATTTAGATTGGCAAAAGTGCATAAGTCATTCCTGGGATTTTGTGTCAAGTGTTATAACAAAATCACAGTTGAAATTCAAAATCTAAATGAAAGCAAATTTAAATTTTGTATAAAGAAAAATTAATGTAGACTAGCATACAACAAACTAAATGATTATATACAAGATTAAAATGCTTGGAGGCTAGCTGGTGTCCTACTCCACAGCTCCACATCTTCAAAGTTTTTGTAAATGTGAGTGCCCTGTTATAATTAAGTTAGACTTGTAGAATATGGGTACTTGTATCAGCTGGGAGTTGTCATGTTCACTCAGAGGTCTCATTGGCGGTGGCACGGGCACTGGATCGCTCGTTTGCCTATGATATGGTTGAGTATGGCGGTGCTGGTGTACCATGTTCGAAAACGGGTGCCGCCTATTGGGACTGGCCATCTCCAGGGTGTCTAAATATGTTGTCCTTGAGTTTAACTTCTTTTTCGGATTATTTGCTTAAACATTAGTGTTACACTGTTCTCACATAAGAACCGACTAAATGATGTAACAAAGAAAAATTATAAAACTGATTGAAAAAGAGTAACCATGGAGTTTCTTGCTCGTTCTTCTCCATAGGAATCTACACTTTGGAACGAGTAAATAGCTTCACTAGAGGACAGACTGACACGCTTAAAGTTTAAGTAAGCTCTTGAAATACTTTTTCAAAAAAAAAGAGTAGAAATAATAGACAAAATCATAGTCTAGAATAACACACTTGATGCTCTGGTATTGTGGGGGAATCCGTTGGCAGAAGCGACAAGTAGTAGTGAATTAAATCACGCGACATTGGTGTGAACTGTTTTTAAACTGTCTAAAATTTTACTTTGGCAATCAAACTATCAAATGTGATGGAGTTTCCCTAGAAAGGAACGTAAAAATAATCTCAAATAGACGTTAACTAGTATAGGTAAAATCTATTTCGCTTTCGTTACAACATGAAGAATCTAATGGCTGTTATGATAGCCAGATGGAAGACGTTGACTTGCAGTTTCGTGCTGCTGGAGTAGGCTCCAAGCTTGGCTGCATGGGATATCGCGTGGAACACGTAGTGCTGCTCGTGGACGTTGTGGAATAAGTGGGAATAAGGACCTGCGAAAAAAGTGTTTCAGTTATCATATGGGTCTTGAATTGGTCCCCGAATGAGATTCTAATTTAATTTCATATGGGTAGAATAAAGCAGATCATAAATCAGTAGGCGTCCATTTTTTACATTTGATTTGGTCTTGTTTAAGAAAAAGGTTAAATACCAAAAAGTTTATATTTTGTCTTGTTAGGTACCTACTTCTGTCTGTTTAATTTTATTCTTACACAGATAAACGTTCCAAATATGAAATCCGACTCACCTCTAGCATAGACAGCGACATCGCCACCTCCATGGTAATTCTCCACGAGCTGTATGCCAGCGACCTGGGTGTAATTGTACTGCTCCGTGTCATCCTCGCTAGGGTCTCGTCTCATCACACGGCTGCCGTTATCGTCAGTATGCACGTAGAACTGGAACGAACCTGGACCTCCCGTGGCATAGGATAACGTTGTGTAGTTTATTTTATCGTGGCTCGAAGGTTGGGCGATGCCTGTAATTGAAAGGATAGCGTCAATATTCAGTTGTGCACCAAATTCTTCAGGTAGGTTCAGACTTGGGTAATGGAAGCAGGACCCGAGTGTAATTTATTTCATAGCGGTGGTCACTAGCCCAACAAAGTAATATAATTAAGCCCTTCAGCGACAGTGGAAGCCTGATGTAGCTACATAACCGGTCAGATTCGGTGATTCATTTATAATAAGTATAAAATTGGAATTTGAATTTTGAAAGTAATTATCTTCTTTATTTTGTTTTGAAGCCGCATTTAGGATTCGGCAACAATACCGCATTGTGTTCGAAGATTATTTAATATAGAATTTTACCAAAAATACTGCTCCCTCTATCTGGGTAGCCATTAATAGACAGTGAGTGCGTGTGATCGCTGGTGACTATCAGCAGGGTGTCCTCCGCATCAGTCATGTCGGCTGCGAGCTGGACAGCTTCTTCCATGGCTAAAGCCTCGTTCACTGCTATCTTGGCCCAGCCTCTGTGATGGGCCATGTCTACGTTGCCACCTTCTACCTGCGGATGTCAGAAAATATGGTCAATATCAGTCCATTTGAAAATCATCTTATAAGCTAAATACCAAACGAGATGATGCTAGCATTTTTGGGATGATTTCGGTTACTTCACTGTTTTGTTTTGTTTGTCAAAACACATTAGCTATGTAGCATACCTACTATGATATTATTGTGACTCATTTTTTTATTAGGACAAGCCCGCCGAAACCTCCCATAACCGCTGCAACTCCTGTAAGTCAGGATCTCTGTAGACCCTGAACATTCCTGTAAGTCAGGATCTCTGTAGATCCTGACTAGAAAAAACAACGGAACACTGAAGTCCAGTGCGTTCCAGGAACATAAATGACTGTCTTGGATCCCACAACGAAATAAATCAGAAGATATTATTTGAAGAGAAGGAAAAAACGAAATAGTTTTCAGTCGTTTCCACAGAATTACTTAAGATATTATTGTGACAGCTAAAAACTACCACCAAACATTGGTGATTCATTAAACATATTTTTGGTTTCACAAACCTAATGAAATAATTAATTGTACTATTGGCTATTCTATACTGACCATGAGGAAGTATCCATTCTTATTCTTCTGCAGAACTTTAATAGCAGCTCCTACCATCTCTGATAGTGAGGGCATTCCTTCGGGCCCCTTGTTTCTTTCGTGCTCGTAGCTCAAGTGCTCGTTCGAGAATATTCCTGGAAGAAATTGGAGTAGATTTGTGTCAATGTGGACCAGGTTTCTCAGGTCCCCGTATGTCTAACGCCTATGTGCTAAAAACGAAAGGAATCTATCTCTATCGTCAAAACTAAAAAATGCATGTCGCGAACGGCATTACATTTTCTGTGGCCATTCAAGGGATTATGATTGCTTAGTTAATCGAAATAAGGTTGTAATGCATTGGTCATTTCGGTCGGTGCCGGGACAATCTCTTTTGCCAGCCCTTAGAGTTTGTGAATTAAAGAACTAGACATAATTATTGCATTGAGGGGAAAAATATCAACTTACCAAGTAAATAGTCCGTGTTATTTACATCTAGTTCTGCTAGTTCCTTATTGTTCATGATCACGCTGTGCTTAAGTCCTCGCGTGCTCTTATCCGTCTTGTACTGCTCGATGAGGTTCCTTCCATCTTGCCGGTAGCAGGTCCATGGGCTCAAGCTAATAGGGTCGTGCTCGGTGCCTGTTGCGTTCGACACCAATTGTTGCCTGCCACCTCCCATTATGACCTGGATATTTTCAAGGGTAAAGATAATTTTAGCGTAGCGATAACAAAGAACATGAGCCGTGCTTTGGCATGACCGACCAAATCATGTTCGACCAGATAACGACCTCACAGAAAAGCGGCATGAATCGATCACAGTGCTGTGGTCCGCCGAGTGAGTTAAGTAACCGGAGTCCTTCTTTTCCTAATCCAATC